AAAAAAATACTGGTAAATATATACTCTTGGCACTCAGATTTCACATTGGCACTTTTCACTATTTGTGAGTGATGATGGAATTCTAATGCAAGCAATAATTTTTGAAGGGGTTAATAATTCTAACCATATGGGATTTTCTGAATATTCAATAAGATAAAATAAAATGCATCACTCAGAATGAATCTGAATGGCCCTCAATGTGATAAGCTAGACCACTTAGCTGGTAAGTGAATTTACCTAAGCTCCTAACTCCTTCATTCAACAAATATTTAGGAGACTATTATGTTTCAGATACATTCTAAGTACTTGAGATGCATCAGTGAACAAAAGAAACAAAGATCCCTACTCTCATGAAGCTTACATTCTAAATAGTAAACAATAAATAAACAAGATAGCACTATGGAAAAAATTTTAAAGTAGAAGGATAGGGAAGTTAAAATAAAGGTGGTAGAAGCAAGTGACAATTTTTAAAAGGGTGATCAAGGTAGACCCCCTTGAGAAGGTGTTATTGAGCAAAACCTTAAAGGATCTGCAGGGGCTGGCCCTGGAGCTATCTAGAGAAAGAAGAACATTCCAGACAAGAGAACAACAAATGCAAAGGCCCTCAGATGGGAGGGTACTGTCCTTAAGAACAGTAAAAATGCCAGTGTGGCTGGAGTGACAACCGAGAGGACAAAAATGGTAAGAGATGAGCTCTGAGAGAGAGGTACTAAGTGGATGTTGGGGCAAAGAAAGGCTATAGTCTATTGTAAGGCGTTTTGGCTTTGAATCTGAGGGAAATATGGGACCACCACAGTTTTAAGCAGAAAATGTCACGATCCGTTCTGCTGAGAAAAGGGAAGGAGAAAGGAAAGGGGCATAGAAACAGCTATCTGACAGAGAATAGTCTAGTAATCTAGACAAGAAATAATAGTTCAACTAGGGTCAACCCCAATTAACAAGGTAAATCTCAATTAGCAATATTCAAGAAAATTGAGTTTCTAAAGGCCTGGGGATATGTTCCTAGTGAATGTAAAAAATCTACCATAAATCACCAGACTACCTGCAGCACCGGCTCCTGAGGAGCTCTTTATTGTTATCAACTGGGTTCTAAACTTAATTCTAAATGTTTTCTAATATCGCTTCGTACTTACACAATTTCTCTTATGAGAATTTATGCCCAAGGGCTCAAAAATACAAACAGCATTACCATATGAAGCTGCAATCTAAAAAAGAATGAACAAAGTATTAATATTTAGGAAAAGAAAAAATAAAGATGACCACCTTTTCACAGTAACATATAAACGAATTACATATAATTCAATCCTAATACAGTATTCATGGTTTATTCCCTTCTATAAACATTAACTGAACTTAAGAATCTCTATTACCAAAAATTCAGCAGGCTTTATTTTATGTATCAAATACAAGGCTGACCCACA